CACTATTTACAAGAGAAAATGAAGAATAAGGAATGGAAGCTTTTCTCTTGATAATCAATGCTTGGATAGGTGTTGTGTAACATTCTTCAAGTGTCTTGAACTTCATTTAATATGTTGGAATGTGTTTGTGACCATTTCTAGACGTTGAAGATGTTTTGGAGCCGTTGGTGACTTAATTGCTGCAAAATAAAACTGCCCAGACCATGGAGTATCGAAACTCGAGCTTAGAGTATCGATACTGAGGTCATGATTTCGATACTACTATACAAAGTAGTATCAATACTCCTTTGAGTATCGGTACCAAAAATTACTACTGGAATCTGAACACATTTAAAACAAATAGGTAGTATCGATACTACCATGAGAGTATCGATACTTCCCTTACCTTTGGTATCGATACTACAAGAATAATATCGATACTGTAAAAACAATATCATTACTTCTTTTCAAAAAAATAATTTTGTGTTCAAATTCAAGTTTTATGGACTTTGACTTATTTTTAAAAACTTTGAATAAATTCAATCAAGTCCAAAAACATTTTGCCCCTTTAATTTGTTAAATCAAAATAGGTTCAACAATGATCAAGATTCGAGCAAGTTTAAAAATAAGGATATAGTACAAAAGTGATGTTTATATTGATAGAAAGGTTAGCTAGTGAGTCATTACCAGTTGGGTACATTCTTACCTAGTTTATATATATATATATATATATATATATATATTATATGAGGAAGACTTGCGATAAGTCAACCTCTATATTTTTGAAAGAAAAAGAATTTGAATTATGTTATGAAATATTTTTATAATGATTTTTAAATGGTTTATGAATGATTTTGTGTATGAAGCACCCAATACATTTTTATATGATATTTTAATAAAAGAATTATTGATGATTTTGGTTATGAACTGTCCAACACACTTTTATATGGTATTTGGACTTGTTGGTATCTATGGATACAATTGATAAATAAATGATATATAGTTTGATATGAAAAGCCCATTGTATATGCATTGAGAATTGATGGTACAAGTGACATGCTATGAGGTGGAGTGTTTATCGATTGATCTTATATAGGTACATTCGTGTATGCTACACAGAGGAAATAATACATTTTATGACACATACGTGAATCATGATATGATGTTTGCACATATGATATGCTAGTGTAATGTATCCTCGTTATAGGTACAATTTTGTTGTGTTCTACAATGTCTGTACTAGTATAAAAAAAAGGCAATATATGTGCAAACCAGTTATATGGCACCGATGGTGCAATTGATTCACAAGGGCACTAAAGGTGCAATTTATTCATAAACAGTTATACTGCATATAGTACACTCGTCTGACTCAAGTACCATGCATTCTCATTTGTTATACATTGGATTATTAGTTAAATAAATGTGAAAAATGCAGGTTTATTTGATTCATTGAAAGTAAAGCTTTCATTGAATATTCTGATTTGACATAAAAAGCCTTATATATGAACTGTTTATTCTGATCCGTGAATTATAAAATGTTGATTTTCAGATTTTAGTTTAAAGAAAAGTTTGAAAATCTATTTCAAATATTCATATATTATTATATGAAATTTTATGTACTATAAGTTATGTGATATTTTATAAACCAATATGTTTTATTTTATATTTAATAATGCCTCACAAGTGTATACTTAGCGTGTATGGTCTCACGAGTAGGTAAAAAAAGCGAGTGGAGTAAGGAGATGAGCTTGGCATCAATTATCGAATACTATTTACCCCCATAATCCTACTGTTATTTTTAATTTCTAGTTGGCATGTATACATATAATAAGTGTCCACAATATTTTAAAATGGTTAAATTTGAAATACTCTGATATGCGTATAGCTTTTAAATGTTTCATAATAATATTTATATATATGGATTTTAGTAAGCATAAATATGGTTATAAATACGGGTTTTAGTTTACTAATTGATAAAGTTATATTTTATTAGAATAAAGATGAGTTTTAATTTCGATAGTTTTTAGACAGTTTTACTTATGATATTAAACAATATTGAACTGCAATATTGTTGCTTAAAACCGAGTTTGATTTGTATGTCAAAATATTATTTTCTAGTTATACACGATTAACTAGTTTTGATTAAAAAAATTAAATAAATGAATTTTAAAGAAACAAAATTTTACTAATTTTCAAGTGTAAACCATTTTCTAAATGTTATGTGATATCTCTTACTCATGTTCAGGGACGGACACGCAAAAAGGATGTTACAACATATATATTAACAATATAAAGTTTTTAAATGAGATATGCATAAATAAAATTTTAGGGTGAACAACATCAATAAAATATATCACTAATCGTAGAAAATTTAGATTTTAAAGTGAACATAATAAAATTTTAAGGTGGACACGACTAATTGAAGAAAATTCGAATTTAAGATGGACATGTACCCAACCTTAGCCCTCAATGAATCAGCCGGTGTGTCCATGCGTAAGATGCCTTTCCCTACCTTGCGTCCATGAAGAATGAGCTATGGGAATATTTTGCTGCTATGACTGTGTACAGCTGTGAGTGGGGGTTTTGAATTAGTTTCCAAACTTGTTTGTCGAGTAATGCCAAATTAAAAGGTTAAAGGTCACAGAATGTTTATCCACCATCCCTTTTAGTTGGACAAAGTTTTTTTTTTTCATGCGATATATGCTCATCCTCGAGCGTCTTACTTTTTGACCATCAATGAGCTCTCATATGAGCAGACATAGAGCTGATACCATCTGATAACAAGTAACAAGACATGGCATATATCGAAAGTGCTTGGGTCACGAATTTGAAAAAGACCTCAAGAGCACCAAAAGCAAGCTGCATCCACATAAAACAAATTATTTATCCTCCCACTCGCGTATATTCCTTTGATTAGACCTTTACGTTGTCCAATAACAATGAGGGTATAAAGTCCCTCTGAACATACGAGAGAAAGATAAGAAGATAAAGGATTTTTTTTTTGTCGAAATCCTCGATCCGATTTAAGGACATCTGAAATCTTTCCATAAATTTGAATGCAATAAGAAGCAGTAAAGTTCAATTCAAAATGAGTTAATGAAAGAACAATCAAATCCCATTTTCTCCATAATTTTAACAATAAAGTTTCATTTTACATGATCGGAGGTTATTTTTAATAAGAAGATATGAGAAATTAAATGTTATTTTTAATTAGAGAAGTGAATTATTTTTTTTGTCACGATCATTGATGAATATTAATGAAACAGTCAGGATATTTAATAAAAAAAATTAAATTTTTAAAAAGTTTATTTTTTAGACTAATATAATTATAAGATAATATTTATTTATAATTTTTTTAATTATCGATAATATAAACACGATCTCTATATTCCAGGACTCAAACCTTTAAAAGCAGAAATACACCTTTTTGCCCACTATGTCGCTAGATAAGTTTAAAAAAATCTAATTCAAAGAACAGGAGTAAAGCACAAAACCAGGCAGTAAAGCAACCTTCACGGTGGTTCGTACAGTCCACAGTCAGCATTTGCTAACTCAAGAACAACAGGCAGCGCGTCTTCGATCCAAAATATATTAGTTGTCTCTGACCTATCGACCGCTGCTGATACACTAGGCCACGAGCCACTCCGTTCCCCGATCGAGCAAGGAAGTTCAAACGACAGGCAACAAACCTCCGAACAATGTTCTTCGCATCCCAGATAAACTGATCCATTTTCCTATAAGTCTCTCATTCATCATGAGCTTTGTAATCACACCCATGGACAGCAACTATAGCTTCAGCTTCAAATGACTAGGAGACCCGGTGAGCATTCTGTAATCTTGCTCATAAAATATACCCTTCTGAATGTTGAAAAGTCAATGCCAAGTTGGCCACTTGGCCAAAACTTTCGGTGGTCTGCAAATTAGTTTTCAACATTCACGGCTATTCGGTGCAACAATTGTTGAAAAATAAATGATAAAATTGCTAAATTAGTCCATGTACTTTAGGGTATTTATAAGATTAATCATTAAGCTTAAACTATAAATACCCTAACCCATTTAGCTTCAAAACCATCCCAAATCATTCTAACTTTCTCCCAATGCTAGAGAATTTAGAGAGTTTTCTTGAGAGTTGTGTTCTCCTTTTTATCAAGATAGTTGCTCTCTCCACAACTGAAGCAGAATATGTCGTTGTTACGGAAGCTAGCAAGGAGATGGTTTAGCTCCAAAGTTTCTTGGAAGAGTTAGGCAAGAAACAAGAAAACAATGTCTTGTATTGCGATAGTCAAAGTGCTATCCATCTAGCAAAGAATCCGTCTTTTCATTCCAGGACAAAGCACATACAATTGCGATATCATTTTATCCGGTCTCTTTTGGAAGATGAGATTTTGAAACTTGAAAAGATCAGTGGAGCTCAAAATCCGGCAGACATGTTGACAAAGACGGTGACCATGGACAAACTAAAGTTGTGTTCAGCTTCAATTGGCATGCAAGAATTACAAAACTAGAAATGCTGCTGCATCGATCGAGGTGTGAAGACAGATTAAAATCAGTCTTCAAGTGGGTGATTGTTAAAAGTCTAAAGGTTGGCAACCAACTTTGAAAATGGTTTTCAAAGTTTGGTAAATGTTTCTTTGAAAATGGTTTTCAAAGTTTGGTAAATGTTTCTTTGAAAAATGTTTTTCAAAGTTTGGTAGATGTTTGTTGAAAATATGAATGAGTAAATTCACTTTAGTAATTGCACTATAGGGTTTTTTCAAAGATTAGTCCCTAAGTTTCAACTATAAATACCCTAGCTCATTTAGCTTCAAATCCCAAATCTCAAAAATCATTTCTTTCTCCCAATACTAGAGAGCTTTCTTGTGAGTAGTGAGTGTTTTGTAAACACCTGTAAAATTTCTCTCTTAGTAAAAGATCTGCAGCTGTCCAGAGACGTAAGCAAATTGGCTGAACTCCGTTATCAATTTCGGGTATTATTTTTCCGCTTTTATTTTTCATTCTCACTAATCTGGTTATAGGGAAATTACTCGTACTCGGTTTATTTCCTAACAATAGACAGTTGGAGTTGTTTCAAGAATACAAGAGAAGACTGTCGGCTTTGGTTGCATTGAAGCAAGCTCATCGACTGGTAAGCCAAGCACTCGTCCTTATCACTGTCGGGGGTAACGATTTCGTCAACAACTATTACTTGGTCCCCTTCTCTGCAAGATCCAGACAATACAGTTTGCCTAATTATGTCCGGTTTCTTATTTCCGAGTATCAAAAACTCCTGATGGTAATCTTTTAGTACCGAAACTGACATTAGCGACTATGCTACTTGGATTCGAGTATATGTGTTAGGTACAATTAAGTATCTTGAAATTCAGAAACTATACAAACTAGGAGCACAAAGGGTTCTAGTGAAGGGCACTGGACCTTTGGGTTGTGTTCCGGTGGAACTTGTGACGAGAGGCAACAACGGCGGGTGCTCGCAGGAACTGCAACGCGCTGCTTCCTTGTGCAATCCACAACTTGCTCAAATGATAAATGAACTCAATGCTGTAATTGGAAAAGATGTCTTCATTAGTGCAAATACTCAAAGAATGCACAACTATCTCGTTTCCGACCCCCAAGCCTTTGGTTCGTAACTCGAGAGTAAGTGTAGGATGTAAATATGTATCGATCGAAATGAATTTAAACTTGGAATCTTGGTTTCGGAACAGGATTTACGACATCGGAAACAGCCTGTTGTGGGCAAGGACCCTACAATGGACTAGGTTTGTGCACTCGATTATCAAATTTATGTCCCAACATAGATGCCTATGCGTTTTGGGATCCATTTCATCCATCGGAGAAGGCTAATAGATTGATCGTGGAGCAGATCATGACTGGCTCTAATCAATACATGCACCCCATGAATCTGAGCACTATCATGGCCTTTGATTCCATCATCTGATCACATCAGCTCTTTTTTTTATGAAAAAATGTTAGGAGTGTTGTTCAAGAATTTGTTTCTTCAACTGTCGTAAAATTAATGTTGTGTTTCAACTTCTTTTTGCCTTTTGTCTTGAATATTGTGATGGATTGTAATGTTGGAATTGGACATGCCTTTGGAATGAATTGATGATTAGTAGTCATTAGATTTGAAAATAATTCATGTATTCTTTTAAAATATATAAATTTATTTATGGTAAATAGAATGAAATTTCATAGTAATATAGAAAATAAAGAGTATAAAAATTATTGAAATCGTGGGATTTTGGGTTCATATCTCCATTCCCCCAAAGTCAAATATTGAAATCGTGGTGTCAGCTAACTCAAATAAGCTGTTATTAGTTATATTAATTTATTTATTATTTTGCCGTTTTTTCCCCTTCAATCACACGCTTAATCAATTAGTGGCAACCCTATTTTTGTTAGTGGAAACCAAATTGCAGCCATGCTTCTCCTCAAAGCTATCTCTCTTTGTTATCATCAAATATAATTGTTTAAGCTACTTCAACAACACCACCAAGAGAGAAAATAAATCAATCCTAAAATTAAATTAATTAATAAAATCAAATATGTTATGACAACGATTAATCATTTCTGACTTAAATGAAAAGTCATAACCGTAAAGTCATCATATGATTATCCATAGATTAATGTTAGATGGTGCGATCAAGTGTATTAAATTTGATTTTGATAAATCATGTGAGTTTGTCAAATGTTATGTCAGTAGATCGTATTTTCCCAAATGACATTTACATGTTCAAAATCTTTAAAATCTTAAAATTTTAATTTTTTTTTAAATTTCTTAAAAGTTATAATACACGATAAATATAAAAAATGAAAATATAAAAGTTATATGAAATTTATATATATATAGGTATAAAAGCAATGGTATAAATCACTATAATAAACATGCTACAAGTAATTTCTAAGTTTAAGGAACCAATGAGAATAATTTCTAAGATCACATCTCACAATGGCATTGCAGTAATTTCGAATTAGAAACGTGTCCAGTCTAGAGAAAGAAAAAAGAAAGACGTCCTAAAGCTACCAACTCTATCAACGATAGTTGAAATCTCGAGTCATAACTCACTTTCCCACTCCATCTACCCGATTCCGATTCCGATTCCGATTCACCGAGGATCGGAAGTTCCCATTTTTTCAGCCTTATAATTAAACTGAAGAAACTTAAAAATGCCCTTGTTTTGAATTAGGAAAGAGAAGCTTAAACATTTTTTTTGGGAATATTTCAACAAGAAAAATTCTTTGAAAATGGCAGCAGTTCCAGTTGAAGAAGCCATTGCAGCTTTATCGACATTCTCCCTAGAGGTGAATAGTTTCTTAAACTTTATTTTTTCTTTTTGCCTTGATTGGATTTCATTAATTTGGTTTCAAACAAATTAATTTAAAGTCTAAAATTTTTATGTCCAACATGGGTTCTTCTTCTTGTTATTTTTTTCCCTCGCGAAATTACAATGCATTTTGTTTTTATACATTATAGTGTTTTAAACTTGAATAATTAATCTTTGAAGCAAATTCGAAGAAATCAAATTTGACCTCTAAGCAAACAAATTAACAGAGAAAATGCATTAAAAAAAACACTTTCCCATACTTTTTTTTTGTTAAAATTTGTTTTTGTTAGGATGAGCAACCAGAAATACAAGGCCCAGCAGTTTTGGTGTCAACTGAAAGGGGATCGACTATCAGTCCAATTGGTATTTCTCTTTCTGTGTTCCCTTAAGATTTAAGGGTATATTCCTTAGATTTAAGTTTTAGCTGAAGAATGGATTATATGTTCATAGCAGTACTTGGCCTTCAAGTTTTAAGACTTTGATTTGCATGAAATATTGACCTGTGAGACTCTTTTTGGAGTTATAAAGAGGATGGATTCAGAATAGATGCTGTGTTATCAGTAGCATTTCGGTTATTTATTGGTCTTATCATATTGAGGTTGCTTGATTTCTCTTTTATTGCTTTTCTTACCTTAGTTGCATTTTCTTAAAATTTCACGCACAACTGATGATTTTTTATACTTTCCCTTTCCCTTTTCCTTTTCAGAATATAGCGATGTTTCTGCTTATCGTTTGTCTCTTTCAGAGGACACAAAAGCTCTCAATCAGCTTGTACGTAATTTTTCTGCTCCTCTTTGCTTATCTTCTTAAATAATTATTTTTTGCCTAAGCTAGTTACAGTATAAATTTTGTAATGTTTTGTTTTTTTCTTTGATCTTGTATTTTTTATGGCATGGCAGAACACGCTTATCCAGGAAGGGAAGGAGATGGCATCGGTGCTTTATACATATCGCAGTTGCGTCAAAGCACTTCCTCAGGTATTTTGACATTAGTTAAGGCTAAAAAGAATTTCTTCAATTTTACTAGGGCAACCATCATAATACCAACTAGCATCATATGGGTAAATTTTCCTTTAAACTGCCCCTTTTAATAAGATAGGAACATAACTTTTGGTATTTAGTTCTCTTATGCAATTGTGCCCCTTGTTCTGTATGATGTGGCAGCTCCCTGATTCTATGAAGCATAATCAAGCTGACTTATATCTAGAAACATATCAAGTTCTGGACTTGGAGATGAGTCGGTTGCGTGAAATACAACGATGGCAAGCATCAGCTGCGACTAAAGTATTGATATAAAAATTTTCATGCTTTTCAATTCTCATTTCCCCGCTTATGGTTGTGTTTTTCCACTAATAACTGTTAACTTTTACGCAGCTTGCTGCTGATATGCAACGGTTTTCCAGGCCTGAGCGACGGATTAATGGCCCTACAATAACTCATCTCTGGTGGGTTGTGATGGTTCCCCCCTTTTATTCTTTGAGAACCTCGTCTTATTTTTTTTATTGTGACTAACATATTGGACTACTGAATATAATAACATAAACCTTCTTGTTATGGTTTAAGTGGTAATATTAAGAATAAAATGTTCTCATTAGATGCCTTAATTGCAATTGATTTATTATTTTCTCTAGGTCCATGTTAAAGTTACTCGACGTCTTAGTGCAACTTGATCATCTCAAAAATGCTAAAGCAAGCATACCTAATGATTTCTCTTGGTACAAGAGGTAAGAATGATTTTTAGCTATTGTATATTTCTATATTTGGCTTGTGTTTCTTTTAGAATTTAAAATGAACTTCATATGGTTTTAGGCTGTATTAACTTGAGTAGAATGTTTTGAAGTGTGGTGATCTAGTATCAGGTAAGATGTTGAATGATTCATCATCAATCAGGATTTAGTGAAGGAATTGTAGATTTAAGTTGTATATTTCAAGATGTCTTGGAGTGCTTTGGTTGAAACAGAATAATAAATTTGTTTTTGAAGGTGTCAAAATAAGTTGCTGAAATGTTGGCAATTAAAAGGGGGTTGAAGCTTTTTATTGGTTCTATATGGGGTAGCAAAGGGAGACTAATTGTAGAATGCGATTGCCTAGCTGTGGTTAATTGGATAAAAAACCAGGGTGGCTGTCCTAATTCTTTGAGTCTTATGTTGAATAAGATTATATTGCTAATTAGGGATAGGGATGTGGTTGTTAGGCATATTTCCAGAGGGGCTAATTGGGAGGCTGATAAATTGGCAAAAGAGGGAATTGGATGAGTGGGGCTGTGTGTAGGCAAGAGGAGTTAGTTTTGGGGGGTATTGTATTGTTATGAAAGTGGTAGCAGTAGGGTGATTGATGTTATCTATATAGTAATATCTTTGATTTTCAATAAAATTTTGAGACAATCTTTTCCTCCTTCCAATGTCCTATGAAATAGTGATATTTCATAGGTTATGAAGGGGTTTTTTAATGAGGTCTCCAGTTTCTATAAAAATAAAAATAAAAATAGAGAAGATCTAGGGATAAGAGCTCAGGTTCCTTAATTGTATCACTCACTGTAGACTGTTTTTGGAATGCAGCTTATAGTTATATAAAAAGGAAAAATTCCAAATGGTATCTAATCACTTTGCTTCAGATTATACACGAGTGAAAACCAATAAGCGCTGAATCAAAACCCGGAGACATAGAAAGCTTATAGTTATAGGAAAGTAAAACAATGTAACCAGGCCTAGAGTAGGACCCTTGCCTATGTGTGGATAATTATTTTTGAAGTTGAGTTGGAAATACTATTCACTGAATGATTCTGCAGCTTTTATTTCATAAAAATTCATTTAGTATAGAAAATATGGTTCTTTAGGCTATGTTTGCCAGTAAGATCTAAAAACTTTTGAAGATCAAATTTACCGGTTGATCATCAAAGTTCAAATTCACTGTTTCATCATGGTTTTAAAATTTGTTCTATTCTAAAATCAGTAGAATTGATTTTAATACTGGGAAATCTCCTTCACAGATTTTTTAAAAATGTTTTTGACCTATCCCCACTTCGACAGGACATTCACACAAGTCAGCGTTCAGTGGCCAGATACAGATTCTATGAGGGAAGAATTGGATGATTTACAGGTGGATCTTTGTGGTCTGCTGTGATGATTGTTTAGCAACATTAATCGTTGCTTTCCTTTCACTTGAAATTTTGCTTACTATTTTCATTGTGGTAACTAATTTTTTATTGTTGGTTTTACAGATTTTTTTAAGCACGAGGTGGGCTATTTTATTGAACTTGCACGTGGAGATGTTCCGTGTGAACAAGTATCCTCTTCCTGTTTAATACATGTTTGTGGTGATTTTAGTCTCTATTAATGCTGCATCCCCTCATGTGGTCTTAAAAGGACAATCAATCTCAGTGGTTGGCATCCGGGTTGAACCTACATTGTGTGAAAAATGCTTAGTTTGTTGCCAGGTTTTTGAGGAAAAGAGTATGCCCTTTTCTATTAAGGCCTCGTGTAGAATCCATGGGACATTCTTTTTATTTTTTTTTTCTGTTTGCACAACTCTTTTTAATGCTTGTTGAGGTCCTTGACTGAATTTAGTGTAGAGGATATCCTTCAGGTTCTTATAGTCTTTGCTGTTGAGTCTTTGGAACTGGATTTTGCCCTTCTGTTCCCTGAGCGACACATGCTTCTCCGAGTGTTGCCTGTTCTTGTTGTTATGGCAACGACATCCGAGAAAGATAGCGAGTCACTATACAAGAGGGTGAAAATCAATAGACTGATCAATATATTTAAGGTATTGTCTCTGCTGAAGGTCTAAAATGCCATATGGGAAGCAAAATCATTTATTACATCTATTCTTCCTGGCATATTTTATTAATAAGTTGAGTCGATTAAATTAATAGCTTTTATTTCTTGTGCAGAATGATCCAGTAATTCCTGCATTCCCAGATCTTCATCTTTCTCCAGCTTCAATTTTGAAAGAATTGTCCATGTACTTCCAAAAGTTTTCCAGCCAAACTCGTCTTCTCACTCTTCCGTCACCTCATGAACTCCCACCCAGAGAATCACAAGAATATCCTAGCACTTTTGTTATATTATTACGTTATGGTTTACAAAACATTCATTGCAACTAGCTTTTCTTGTTTTGCTCTGTGAACTTTTTTCTGATCATAAATGGACCACATTAAAGGAGCTGTGCCTGCTCTGGAAAATGTTGAATTTTTAGATTGGAATCTAACCTAAAGCAATTGGTTATAGGAGCTGTAACTTGGAGGCCGATAAATTAGCTAAGGAGGGGATTCGTTGATAGTTACGGGCCTTTGTCTATATGTGTTGTGTTCTTCTTTGGGCATTTTTTTGGTTTTCAGTTTAGGTGTTGCTAGGGTCGTACTCAGGGCAGCCATGAAGAGGCTGTTGCCTTAGCTAAGTTGGATTAGGTTAAGTTAGCCTTTGTTTCTGGCTGTTTAAGGGTGTTTTGTGGTTTTCTGTTTTTAATGGGGGTGTTTTTTCTGGTTGTATCTTATGTATTTTCAAGTTTAATGAAATCCTAAGGCACTCTTTTTCTCCTTCCACTGATTAAGGAGCTTCTAACAGCTCAATTAATCAAGAAGGGCTTTTTTAACGAGGCCTTCAATTTCTATAAAAAAAATATATATCTGGGTCACTATTATTTTAAACTGTAAGCATTGCTTTTGGTCCTTATGCTATGTGGTTGTTAGTATCACATTATTTTTCATCTGTCTTTTGTTTAATAACTTATGATGTCTTGTGGCATATCTTTCAGTTTGTTCATTGCAAAAATTTTAGTTCTTGCCTTACAGCATAGTAAAGCCTTGACATAATTACTTATCAGAGACATTATTTGATAGTCAATCACATCGGAACCATCCGTGCTGAGCATGATGATTTTGCTATCCGTTTTGCCTCAGCTATGAATCAGGTGATTCTCTGTCCTGAGTCCTTCAGTTCCCTTTCATCATATGCAGAACCTTTTAATCAATGCTATATAAAAATTTAAACCGTTGATTCTTTTTTCATATTCTTCTGTACAGCTTTTTCTGTTGAAATCAACTGATGGTGCAGATGTTGAGTGGTGTAAAGAAGTTAAAGGCAACATGTATGATATGGTTGTTGAAGGTTTCCAGCTATTGAGTAGATGGACTGCACGTGTTTGGGAACAATGTGCTTGGAAATTTTCTCGCCCATGCAAGGATGTTGGTTCTTCAGAATCATTAGAGTTATCACCATCTTATTCTGATTATGAGAAGGTATTTTATTTTGGATAAATTGTTTTTGGCTTAAAATGCACCATACTTCCTAGCCTTTTCATAAAGGTTTGTTTTGTTTCTAGCCTCTACTTTGTTCTGTTTAAGATGCAAACTTCTTTTTAAGTTTTTTCTTTAATAGTGGCATTTATTCTTTTCTAGCATTGTGTTTTGAGATGCTATAGCTCACTGCTGCTGTGCACACTTGAGGTTGTATCTTAGAAGTTAACTAGAAGGAAGATCCTTATGAACTAGAACTTGCTTGAATATATTGTCTGAATTACCAACCAGTTTTTTTTTGTCCATATTTTGAGCAAGAAAAAGTCGCTTCCCTTGTCTTGGTCCCCCCACTCCTGATAGTTTTCTAAAGCTGAATGTGGATGGAGCAGTTAATAGGGACTGGGAAGCAGGTGGTATTGGGGGCTTACTAAGGATTCCCGCAGTTGCATCTTAGGCTCATTCTTGGAACCCATGGTCCAGGCTCCCCTGCACTGGTAGAATTAAAAGCAATCAGAGCTAGTCTTCGTCTGTACACAACGGCAGATTCAGGAGATAAGGGCTGTTTGATTCTGGAGAGTGATTGCAGGAATGCTCTAGAGTTGATTAAGGACCCCTCGGCTTGTCCTTTGAGTTTTGAGGCCATTGTTAAGGAAATTGAATCTGTTGTTAAGAGTAATGAGGTCCGTTTTTTTATAGGAAAATAACTCGTTTCTTTCAAAGAAGTGTAAATTGGGAGATGGATGAGTTAGCAAAAAAGGGGATTTGTGCTCTCTTTATCCTAATCGGCTTGTATCTATATTTCCTTGGTCTCCTCCTCCTCAAGGTTTTGTAAAGTTAAATGTTGATGCGGCTACTACAAGAGATTGGAAGAAGAGTGGGATAGGAGGTGTTCTAAAGGACTCCTCGGGTTTGACTTTAAGTTCTTTCAAGGAAACTGCTGGTCCGGGCCCTCCAACTTTTATGGAATTAAAAGCTATTCAGAAGGGTCTAATGTTCTATGCGAATTTACGAGAGAGGAAGGGTCGTCTGATTATTGAAAACGACAGCAAAGTTGCGGTAAACTGGATTAAGAAAGAGGATCTAGTTCCTGATGTTTATGCGTTTTTGATTAAAGATATTGTTCATAGGCTTAATGTTTTAGAAGGTGTTGTCAGATGGGTTAATAGGTCAGCCAATCTAGAGACTGATGCCTTAGCTAAAGAAGGAATTGGCTGATTCTATTCTTATATTTTGGGTGTTTTATGGTTGTTTCAAGTTTATTTGGTTGGTGGGGTGTATGATGGTTGTATCTTATGTAATTTTATGGTTCAATAAAATCCTAAGGCACTCTTTTCCTCCTTCCACTGATTAAGGAGTTCATATAAGCTCCATTAATCAAGAAGGGGGTTTTTAACGAGGCCTGAAATTCTTATAAAAAAAAAAGTCTAATTTGTCTCGGAAATTTGTAATGGTGTGGTCACCACATTCTAGTTTGTGATCCTGGGGGTTATTTAAAACCCTTTTTTCAATAAAACTTGAGGTACTCTTTTCCCCTTCCGCTTTTTGTCGCTAAACCTCTTCGGTTTTATGACAATTATGAAGGGGTTTTTTAACGAGACCTTCAATTATTATAAAAAAAAATATATATATTTTTGCTTGATAGAGTTTTTATGGAAATTGAATTATGTTGTAGGTTGTACGATATAATTATGGCGCGGAGGAAAGGAAAGCACTTGTTGAACTTGTTAGCTACATAAAGAGTGTTGGATCAATGATGCAGCGGTCTGATACTTCGATAACTGATGCTTTGTGGGAAACAATACATGCAGAGGTCCAAGATTTTGTTCAAAATACATTAGCTACCATGTTGCGAACTACGTTTAGAAAGAAAAAAGATCTCTCAAGGTATGCATTTAGATTAGTATCATGATATTTGAATTTTTTGTTTGCCTAACCTTTTATATGTTTTTCATAATCAGGTAAAAATTATTTATTATTTATTATTTACTCTTGACTAAGATATGCTTGTAGTATTAAAGATAAACCTATCCAAATACATTTTCCTTGTCAAAATTGAGGAAGCTTACATTGTTAACCCCCACTCGCCCCCCCTGGCAACACACAAATGTTTTCCTCCTGTGGGAAGAGCGATCTCCGCTAGAAAGATCTATTAATGTTTTTTTAAACCTCGTTCTATCATAACATTCACTTGGCAATTCTGAATTTGTTCACTAGATAAATATGCTTATTAGCTAGTGTAAATTTTCCAATTAAAACCTCATAACTGCTTATGTCATATATTCAATTGCTTTTCCAGGATTCTTTCTGATATGCGGACCCTTTCAGCAGACTGGATGGCAAACACAAGCAAACCTGAATCTGAATTTCAGTCTTCACAACATGGAGGCGATGAGAGTAGAGGGAGCTTCTTTTATCCCAGGCCTGTGGCACCCACAGCAGCCCAGGTTTCTACCCTACAAGTTCTTTTATGCATGCTGTGACTATTCGGTCATGCTGGCTATCTGCTTTGGACTATCTTATAGCATTTATTATTATTATTATTATTATATTTGTTCCACACCATTAGAAGGAAACAAGTTAATACCCTCGTATATCAATAAAGTATCTCATGAACATAAAATTTCAAAGTGCCAAAAAGTTTCAGCATGGACACTTTAGCGTAATGTAAAAGATCATAGGGATGAAGAACTTATATTTTCATCTTCTTTTCATCACATTCCTTAGAAGCATGCATTCCTTTGTGGCCAATTTTCTTCCTCTTCAGGACAAATCCCAATTAATGATGTGTCGGTTGTAGTAATACTACAGAAAATGGATGGCTCAGTATGAATATATGTATCTCAATGTCCTAACTTTGACAATATAATTCTTTCTTGGTTCAATTTATCATGTATTTGTATTTCTCGTATGTAAGCAGCTTTTGGAATTAAATTAATCTTATGTTTTGCAGCATTTCATGCTAACTTTGTAAAACAATGTAGTGTATAAATGTATGTCTAATTTTTGCAATATAACATAGCAAATGTGTATGCATACATGAGCTAGCCACTCCTACTAGTAACAAAAATTCCCCCATTTCAGGTTCATTGCTTGCAGTTTCTGATATATGAGGTCGTGTCTGGTGGTAATCTCAGGAAACCAGGGGGCCTTTTTGGTAACAGTGGGTCTGAGATTCCTGCTAATGACTTAAAGCAGTTGGAAACATTCTTTTACAAGCTAAGCTTCTTCTTGCACATATTGGATTACTCAGGTATCTTCTTACTTATCTGCATTCAGTTACTTCTTATCTCTAATACTACTAGCAGAAAATGGGAATGCTTTCAAGTATTGGTAGCTGGCTTTAATCAGTTTAGTTCTATTGTTCCAGTCTTGATTGAGATATTTTTTTTTTTGATAAGAAAGTCGGCCTCGTTAAAAATCCCCTTCATGATTAATGGAGCACAAAATGCTCCTTAATCAGCGGAAGGAGGAAAAGAGTGCCTTAGGTTTCATTAACAACCAAAGAATACATAATGTTTAAACACAAAACAGAAACAAACCCTTTACAATAACCAACCCCAAGCTTGAAAACAGCCTACCCAAAACAGTGAAACTACCCAATACCAGATTTAGCTAAGCTATCAGCCTCAACATTGGCTGACCTAGCAACCAATCTAATAATACCCTTCAAGTCTCTTAACCGAGTGACAATGTCTTTCACTAAGTCTGAGTACACAGGGGCAACGTTCATTGTTCTTAACCCATTCCACTGCTGTTTTACTGTCAGATTCAACAATTAAACGTTCCTTAAACTGCTGCTGATACGAAGCAAAGAAAATTAATCCCTTCTTAATTGCCATAAGCTCTATCAAAATAGGTGGCCTTGCACCCTAATTCTCTTTGAAAGAACCCTTCACCGAGCCATCCTCAACTCTTAGGATACCCCCCACACCACTATTCGTCCAATCTCCAGTAACTGCAGCATCCACATTCAGTTTTATGAATCCCTTCGGAGGATGAGACCAAGATAAAATTTTGATGATTGAAGATCTTGAATCAGAACAAAAATCCCCAAGTGTTGGATCAACAATTAGAGAGTCCCTTAGAATAGACACATCCTTATTGTTAGCCAAGAACCAAGCAACTAGCCTACATCTTGCCATAAAAAATAGCTCAATAAGATCTAGACACCCCCCATCGAACACAATGTCATTCCTACATTTCCAAATTGTCCATAACAACACTCCCGGAATGAATGACCATATTTTAGAATTAGGCACCAAGTCATCCCAAGCTAACATAAAGCTTTGAGCATTGTCTTGAAAAACAGAACACACGCCCCAAAATCTCAAGAATTTATTCCATAGGGGCCACGCCACAGAGCAAGTAAAAAATAAATGTGTCGTAGATTCTGCCTCCTTTTTACAAAAAGGACATGCGACATCTACAATAGCAGAAACTCCTCTCTTTTGTAATTGTTGTTTAATTGGTAATCTTTGATACACCACCTGCCACATAAACACCTCCACTCTAGGAGGCACCATACCCCTCCAAATGTATTTCATCAAAAAGGAATCTGCTGTCGAATCAGGGCTGCATGACTTCACACTAGAATTAACAGTATAAATTCCTTCCCCATTCCCCCTCCAGACCAACCCATCTGACAGCTCATGGGCGAGAGTGATGTTGTGAATTATTGCCATTAGATCGGAAAACTGATCCGTTTCCCAGTCACTCAAATTCCTTCTCAATTGAACATGCCAAGACCAAATTGAAGACCGAAACTCTCCAAACTCATTTAGCTTCCCATTCTTGTTGATAGAAAGAACAAACAATCTTGGGAAGACCAATTTAAGAGGGGAATCAAGCGCCCAACTATCAAACCAAAAACGTATGCTCCCTCCATTCCCCACTCGAACTTTAAACAAGCTTCGAAACTTTTCTCCAAAATGATCCTCCTTGAAATGATTTTGTACTATCGATTTCCAAATCCACGAAGCATTAGCTGGAATTTTTTCGTTGAACATCAAAGAGTTAGGGTCCTGGTTATATTTACTGCAGACTACCTTCTTCCACACGGTATCTCTATCATTTGCATACCTCCAAGACCATTTCCCAAGGAGAGCTCTATTCATTAAACTAAGATCCAAAACGCCTAGACCACCAGCACTTTTCTCAGAGCACACAGTCGGCCAATTGACCCAGTGGGTTTTTTTTGTATCTGCCTCTCTTCCCCATAAAAAAACAGGCCATGATTGAATGAAGTTTGGTAATCACCGAAGAAGGAATCTTGAACAAGGATATAAAATAGGTTGGAAGTGAGCACAAAACTGACTTCAGTAAGACCAAACTCCCTGCCTTTGACATTGTCTTAGCCTTCCAAACGGCTAACTTTTTATAGAACTTCTGCACTACCGGATCCCACAACTGTTGAGAATTTCTCTTAGCTCCAAGAGACAACCCCAAATATTCCGAAGAGAAATGTCCTATTGAACAATCGATTGCATTTGCCCAATGTAATACCTCTTTATCAGGGATATTAATACCAAACAATTTGCTTTTAGAAAGATTTAGTTTAAGACCTGAAATAATTTCGAATACACGTAGAACTCTCTTAACATTGAGAATCTGTGTCCTCGATGCATTGCAGAAAATGATGAGATCATCTGCGAATTGCAGATGAGATAAGCTAACAGTAGCCTCATCTTTGCCAACAACCAGACCACCAAACAGACCCGAAGATATTGCTTTAAGAAGCAGTAGATTAAAAAGCTCGCCAACAAGATTGAACAGCAAAGGGGACAGGGAACAACCCTGTCTTAAACCTCTAGCCATAGGGAATTCATCAGTAGGGACACCGTTGACTAAAACTGACACCAAAGCTATTGTAACACATATCCGAATCCATCTACACCATTTTGAACCGAACCCCATTTTTGCCATAACTTAAAAGAGAATGTCCCAATCAACTGTGTCATAAGCCTTCTTGAAATCCACCTTAAAAACACAACCCTTCAAACCTTTTTTCCTCTAGCAGTCAATTCCTTCATTGGCAATAAAAGAACAGTCCAAAATTTGTCTACCCAGAATAAAGGCAAATTGTGAATCACTGATAATATCATTGATGCAACATCTCAACCTTCTCGAAAGACACTTTGAAAGTATCTTGTACATCCCACCAACAAGGCTAATAGGTCTGAAATCATCCAAACCCCCAATATTAGAACCCTTCGGAACGAGTGTAATGAAAGAATGATTAATTCCATGTTCTCATTCATTTTCTAGAAAGAAATTGTGAAAGAACTTCATAATGTCACCTTTCAAGTGAGACCAGAATTTTTTAAAAAAACCCATGTTCAACCCATCTGGCCCAGGAGCTTTGTTACTATCACACGAGTTTATGGTATCCCAATCTCCTCTTCCGTAAACTCAGCTTCTAACAATCGATTCTGCTCCATAGACTTTTGAGAAATTCAACTTAATGTCCTCCACTTCCATAGTTGTGCGACAGTTAAAAGCTTTAAAAAAATGGTCTTCGACACTAGACTTTATAATAACAGGGTCTTTGATAATTTCTCCATCAACAATAATAGCATTCAAAGAATTCATCTTCCTCCTAACGGTAGCACAAGTGTGAAAAAACTTTGAATTACTATCTCCATCTTTAATCCACCTTTCTCTAGAATTTTGAAACCATATTTGCTCCTCAATTCTGTATAGTCTCCAAAGTTCATTTCTCAACAGCCTCAGCTTGAACACATTGTCACAGGTATTAGAAAACTGATTTTGCTGCATCCTTTTTTCTAGATGTTGAATTTTATCTTCAAGGACAGAAATATCAACACTTGGAAACTGTTTTCTATTCCCAGACCAGCTATTAATGGCCAACTTTGTATTCCTCAGTATGCTCAAAATTCCAGCTCTTTTCATGGTCTTCTTAAACTCCTTAAAGGACTCAACAACCTTCTCCTCAAAGCCATCCTCAGTCATCAAATAGCTAAATAACCTAAAAGGTCTCTTACCCCAATTATCTTCCCCACATTCAAGAACAATTGCAATATGATCGGAGATAGATTTAGGCAGTAAAGATTGGGCGATACCAGAAAATTCTGCTAAGAAAGTTACATTCACCAGAAATCTGTCGAGTTTAACAACCGTAGGAAAATCCCGATTGCTGCTCCATGTAAAATTCCCTCCAATTAAAGGCAAGTCAATTAGCCCCGTCTGTTGAATAAAGAGACTAAAAATTTCCATAGAATTTCTGTTTTGAGCTCTACCTTCCTTCTCATCTTCTGTTAAATACGCATTGAAGTCCCCTCCCACACAAAGAGGTAGACTGTACCCATTTAAAAACGTACCCAATTCTTAAAAAAAAACTAGTCTTTTCTTCTTCCACAGATGGACCATAAACGTTTATGAATCCACACCTAAGTTGGATGGACTTTAACTTCCCGAAAACAACAATAAACCTGTTGTGAGTGTGCTGCTGTTCTAGCTCAAAAATGCTATCATCCCAACAATTTAAAATACCTTCTGAAGAACCTGCTGCTGGGGAGTCAACTACCCCTTGCAACTTACTCGAACCGCTTCTCCTCAAGAAAGAACTTGGAAAAATCTCAAGTTTTGTTTCTTGTAGAAAAAGGACCGAAGGTTTTCTCTCAGACACAAGTTTTTGTACAGCTCTCTGCTTTTCTTTTTTACCCAACCCCCTAACGTTCCAAGACAAAATACTAATTTTTGTCATCAAATTCATGAAAAATAGTACCAAACAACCCAATGATCAACCCTCAAACTCGGGTAGGCCCCCTCAATCCTTTCTCCAAGTCCATAATTTTATGTAGAAAAGCTTCCTTCCCTTACTTAAAAGATATACCCAACATCTTGCTTATTTCCCATGTTGCAATCGCTTCCTCCAGCAACATAGTAAAAGGAGATGAGGATAAAGTAGAAACACTAACAAGATCTGTAGCCTCCCTGATTAGGGATCTTTTAACTCTCCTGCTACCACTCCTGACCCTTGGATCAACAATGGCCCCTTCTGTAAAATCAGCAGCCTCTGGAATTTCAGAATTACATCCTCTTGAAATTAAAATCCTACCCAAATTATTACTGAGCTGCCCTTCTAAATTATCCTTACCATTCTGCTCATTTTAAATCCATAATTTTCTCCCTTTCGATCTACTATAAACTCTCTTGTAACTTTTGATTAACTTCCTTCCAACCGGGGCACTCATCATGGAAATAGAACTTGCAGGACGAACTTGCAAACCACCTCTAAAACTTAACACCTTAAATCCTACAGCAGACCCCACTTCATCTTCAATCCTTGCAGGACCCTCAATAAAATTTGTTGTGGGAAAATTACAGCCCAAGGTTACAGTACCATTTCCTTTATCTAATCCACTAAACTGATGACTTCGCAGGCCATTCTGAAGCCCAATATCCCAGTCAACTTTATCATGCTCATAGGGAACACCCCCTATTCTACTCATCTTTCCTTCCTTCAACAAAACCATCCGGCTTTACATGCTGGGTGGAGACATTCTCCCACGGAATATGACATTTCCTGAAAACGCACATGCCCATTATGCTGACTAGGGACAGCACCGAAAACTGTCTCCTTAGAATAGAAATCAACACCTAAAAAATTATTTAATTCTACTTTATCATTCAAACTCCCATCGAACAGCGAGCCTTCCCCATTTGGAGCACCACGAACCCATGCTTCAACCCTATCTTGATAGACTGACATCATCTGATTACCCAACTGCATTTGCAGACCTTCCTGTACATCACCGAGGTTCCAATCCGCCCGGTTCTCCTCCCAAGGATCTTCTGTTCCGTCCGCTGATCCATCTTCTTCAACCACATCTTCTAACTCAAGAAAGAAATCTTCAATACCTTCCACCTTAATCTTAATGACAAAAGACCTTCCACAGGTATTAATGGTGACATGGGGAGGTATATCGAACGGGCTCTCCACCCTTAACAACATATGAGCCACCCTACAATCTACTCTCTGAAGAGTTTGATCCTGGATCTTCACTAACCTACCCCATCTCGAAGCCAAGGTAGAAAAGAACGAATTTGACCAGTAGTTTAAGGGAACGCCAATCAGGGAAACTGCACAATACGGTAAAGGAACGCACTTTTCATCCATAACAGGCTCTAGCCTTTCGAACCAGAAAGACAGAACCTCCCGCTTGATTTCCATCGCTTCATCTTTCTCCTCCGCTGTCTTGAAGAGTATCAGGCAGGCGTTTTTTACGTAACCCCACCTTACCACCTTGACATTGAAACCCTCAGACCTTAAAGCTCTCTTCACAAAAGCAACTTCGAAAATCGGCTTACAGATACCAGTTAGAGACGATCTTAACCAAGACCTTTCTTCCGTCGGAATTTAAACTTCCAAAGGCTTCTTAACCTCCCTCTTAGCTCCAAGGCTACTCAGTTGCTGACCCTCAACGTTAATCAGTCCCACTACCGTATCCTTATAAGACCTTCCATCATGAAACTTATTCAACAACTCCCTCTTCCCCACATCATCAACTTGGGATATCGGTCTTTTCCCACTCGGCTCCTCTGTGCTAGCACCTCCAGACCTTGCTACACTACTACGCTTCCGGCTCCGCATAATACTACTCTTCTGATATTTCGCAATCGACACCGATATTCTCCTCCCATCGACCAAAACGTTGTTCATCCTATCCTTTGCATTAAACATATACTCCTTACTTGCAAAGTTCACAAAAGAGAACGTTTTATCCTGGTAATTCGGTCTCCTGTTAACGAACAGAATGAACACCGTAATCACCTTGCCGAAATAACTAAAACGTTCCCATAAAACGCTTCTATGAACTCTCCTACTGAGATTATCAATGAAATCTACCCACGCTCCTTTTCCAGGCACTGCTCTACCTCTGCCTGAAGAACCAAAGCCATTCGGCTCCACGCTCACTCTCTCACTAGCTTTCTCACTCATACCTTAGGGGCTTTTTTTTACATACTTGATTGAGATATTAGAGTGAAGATGATTGTCATTGGTTGAGGGGAAGGTTTACTTTCTATTGCCATGTGTACTTGCACCTTTGTTTTAGACTTCTCTTGATGTGATACTAGCATGTGTACATAAATGTTGCCAATTTTAAGTATTGGCAACATCTTCTGGCAGTGAATGAGGCTCACGTGCTTAGATTCTGATGAACGAACTCCGACATCTGACCAATCGGCGCAAGGCGGACCTCCATGAGCTGGTTGTGTCAAAAGAAAAACCTCCGAAGTCTGCCCTTTGAAATTCGGCCGAATCCTCTCTTGCCCAAACGGCTCATCAGTTTTCTGTGATAAACGAAAAATCCCTAAATTTGATTTAGAACATTTGATACTGGCATGTAGAATATCTGAAAGAAAATGCTTTCTTGTGTGCTTTATTCATAAACATTGTGGGTATATAACTATATATACAAGTATAAAGATCCTATGATAGGTAACAGAATATTCTACATTAATTACAATATATCAATCGTAAACCACATCTCTGTAACAATAACCTTGTTTGATTTAAGTCGTGAATGAGACTTTTTGGTAGCATGGCACCGTGTCAAGTTGAATTGTGTGTCTTGACAGATTTAACACTTGACTCTTGTATATAGAGCTGATGGTGCTATTTCACATAGGTCCTGATAAATTCTGCTTATCTAAATGGTTGCATAAAAGATCATATAAAGTATAAAATGGTTTAACTCTAACCTTAACTGTAATGATTTTTTTCTGCAGCAACTATTGCAACTTTGACAGATCTTGGTTTCTTATGGTTTAGAGAATTTTACTTGGAGTCTTCTCGTGTCATTCAGGTAAGAAAGATGATAATAAAATTCTTCATACATTATCTGTCCTATTTCTTTTTTAATTTATTTTAGCTCGTGAAGCTCTTGTTTAAGCAGGTAGGACCTGACTTGTCAAGATGCTATTTACTGATTTCTTTTGGCATCTTAATTTTTAAAATTTTTTACTTGGAAAATGAGTACATAAATTTTAATTTGAGAATGAGTCAAAGAACTCAATATGTGGGAACTCTCAGCAGCAGCTTATCTAGTCTAAATGGCAGATATTCTTGTAACAAGTTTAAAATATCAAATAATGAGACTTTCACTTCTTCTGTGGGAAGGCAAAAGCATCTTGCAAATGCATGGGATAGGGATCCCTACGTTCATTGTTTGATTTTCAACTTTTCTATTCTAGAGCTGCTGCAAGCACAAAAAAAATTGTGTGGGCCTTTTTTGGTATTGGCATGAATTTTCCTAGATTTATGGGAAACTGTAGATTTTGTAACAATTGCAAGCTACAATTTGCCACTTCCACCTTCACCATGCTAGTCACATCCTTTCCTTGTGCATCGCTGTTGTTTGTCTATTAATATTTTCTAGACTTGAGGGAACTTCAAATTAATTGTCAAAAAGTGACCTGATTCGATTGATTGATTCATAGAAATTTTACATTGGTTCTTATAGACCTAATAAGCCTAAGTTAGGAAACTCTAAACTAGGAAAGAGACTGATTCTAAGAATATTTGACATAGAATAAATCCTACAAAGTTAGGAATTACAATCACTAACATATTTACATAATATCCTAGTTAATACAACCAGTATTCCTTATTTAGGAAACTGGAGTCTGACACTCCCCCTCAAGTTGGGAAGTGGATATTATCCATTCTCAGCTTGCTCACTAACTTCTAAAAAATCTTCCTAGGCAATCCTTTGGTAAGTATATCTGCCAGTTGACTACAGTGGACGCATAAGGAGTACAAATTAGGCCACTGTTAAGTTTTTTCTTTATAAAATGTCTGTCAACTTCAATGTGCTTTGTACTGTCATGTTGCATTGGATTGTGGGCAATATTGATTGCTGACTTATTATCACAATACAGTTTCATTGGACCTTCCCACTTGATTTTTATATCTTCCAAAATGATTTTTAGCCATAACAACTTACAAATTCCAAGGGTCATTGTCCTAAATTCAACTTCTACACTGGATCTAGCCACAACATTTTGTTTCTTACTTCTCCAAGTCACAAGGTTGCCCCCTAGGAAAGTACAATAACCTGAGGTTGATCTTCTGTTAACTTTAGAACCTGCATAATCTGCATCAGTGTAGGCCTCAAGACCTAGCTTCTCCCCTTTCTTAAATAAAATTCCCTTGCCTGGTGTGCCCTTTAAGTACCGTAGGATCTAGTACACAACCCTAAGATGTGACTCTCTGGGGTTGTGCATGAATTGGCTTACTTCACCAACTGCATAGGAAATATTCGGCCTAGTATGTGACAAGTATACGAGCTTTCCCGGTAGCCTCTGATAGGAACTTTTATCAACAACTGCTTCTTCTAATGCATCTCCAAGTCTATGGTTGACCTATAGAAGTCTCTACTGGCTTGCATCCCAGCTTGCCTGTTTCTGTCAATAAGTTAACAATGTATATTTGTTGAGATATGAAGATTCCTTCCCGAGAATGTGCTACCTCGATGCCTAGGAAGTATTTCAACTTACCCAGTTCCTCGACTTCAAATCCTTTATTAGGTATATCTTCAAATCTTCCATTATTTCCAACACTATAATGTCATCCACATAGACTAACAAGGTTATCACTCCCCCTAAAGTCGAATGTTTTACAACAGAGTATGATCACCTTGGCTCTGTCTATACCCCAACTTGAGCATTGCCTTGGTAAACCTTCAAAACCAAGCTCTCGGGGATTGTTTTAGTACATATAAAACCTTCAAAGAAGAGTAGTGAGAGAAGCTCCAACTTCTCTCTAAAAATTTAGGCGTTTTTCAAAAAATTCTCTCTATCCCCTTCAAATCCTTTAGATGGCGAGTCAAGTGAGATCTGTTGGGAAAAATTGTGTTACAATTATTATTTTCAATATTCCAGAGTGTCTTCATCATCAAGGTCTTTGGTTATTGTTCGATAAATATGGCGAGGTGGTCGATTCTTTCATCCCTATCAAAAGAAGCCAGGGAGGAAGCAGGTTCGGTTTTGTCCGCTTTTCTAGATTGGAGGACGCGAGGAGGGCTATCATCTATGCTGATAGATATTGGATTCAAGGTAATAAGGTTAGAGTTTTTATGGCGAGATTTCAACCTCGTGATGTTTTTTGGAGAAAAAAGTTTTCTGGTTCAAAATCAGTTGTGGTCAAGAGTAAAGAGGAGGATGTCAAAGAGGCTCCCATTATTGGTGTAGTTGACGAGGATAAGCTAATTACTCTTAGAGATAGTTTGGTTGGTTGGTGCAGAAAATTTATAAAAATGAAAGAGTTAGCTCCTATTATGCACAAGAAAGGCATTTTAGGCCCGAAAATTATGAGGTTAAGTGGTTTAGCAATTTTGATCATATTTGAAGATGAAGAGAGTAGGGACTATACTCTAAAAAATCAGATTGGAGCGTTGAATAAATGCTTTGACAAAGTGGATTTGTGGTCGGAAAACTTTCAGTGTAGCAGCTGACTGGCATGGTTATCATGCAGAGAGATCCCACCGTTTGTGTGGAGCCATTCAACTTTCAGAAACATTGCAGAAAAATGGGGAGCTCTTATCTCCATTGACATAGGGACCTTAAATCCTGACTCGTTTGATAGGGCCTTGTTTCAGATCATTACGAACTGCAATGATCGAGTGGAAGAATCCTTTGTTTTGAAAGTCGGGGAACAGTCTTTTACAGTATATGTTTCTGAGTTTGAACCTTGCTTTAGCCCATATTCCGTCTGGGATGATTCGTCTGTGTTGGAAACGTCAGTTGCCTCTCCGTTACCCACGGAGGGGGAACTTGCTGGTGTCTCGCCAGTAAAGTCTTCTGAGTTGGTGGTAGGTGCTGGAACGTTTTCACGAGTAAATTTTGATTCCACTAATATTAAGGAAGTTCAGCTAGAAACTCGAGCGTTTATTGATTGGCACGCATACTGGTGGTGGAACGTGTGGTTCAGGTGCCGAGGAAGTAGGAGATGGTCCTTGTTTCGAAGAGGTATGGGCTGTTGAAGTTGTGTCCCCGACAGTCCGTAATGGGGTAGCTGCGCATGGGTCTGATTGCCAGAAGAGTGGCACTTTTAATTCTTGGAGGTAGTTAGGGGGGCGCAAGTGGGGTCTAAGGTGGCACTGTGTGATACAATCGATGATAATGTGCATGGGCATAAGCTGCCGATTTGTGCTAACCCGACAGTTTGTAATGGGGCATCTATGCTCGGTTCAGTTGGCCAGAGGAGTGGAGATCTTAACATTTTGGAGGGAGCTAGTGGGATACACGTGGGCTCAGGTTTGGATGTGTGATGCTAGAGTTGATAATGCGCATACGCCAGCACATGTTTCTTGATGTTAGTGGTAGGCGTTTGACTTCAATTAGAAATGTTGGTTTACGGCAGACCAAGTTAATATTCAATAGTAAAAGGTTCTTGGAGACCCCGAATGTGGATTCGATTAGTGGGGCAGCTGTGCAGGATTCTGTCTATCAAAGTGGTGGCACTTTTCATGCCTTGGAGAGTGTTAGTAGGGTGCACGTTGGGTCTAAGGATGTAACCAAAGGTTACGTGAAGTTGCCAGATGTGCCGACCACGCCTACTGATGGAATTAAGGTAATGGTGGTACACGAGGAAGTGCTTGCTGGTTAGGGGATGGGGTTATCGAAATCCGAAAAAGTGGTGGTACACGAGGAAGTGGTGGTTCAAGGTAAGAGGGGCAGATGAAGACAGCAGGAAAAGTTGTGAGCTTGCACGTGCTTTTGAGGGAAAGAAGGATTATTCTATTCATTTCCCTGTTGGATGGACGTGTAGATTCTAAGGTGGTGGTGGATGAGTTTAATGTGGGCCTTACAAATAAGTGTGCATTCAAAAGATCTAAGGGTTATTTAATTGATTTCCCCATTTTGGATGGGCATCAGAAACAAAGAGCTTTGGAGGAGAGAAATGTTATATTTAGTTCTCCAAAATTTTCGGCTCACCAAAGGAAGCCTCGTTAAAGTCGAAGCAAGAGTTCTCAGAGGAAGGTGCATAGAGAGGAAGTTTTTCCTGATCTTGAAGGCTCTAAAGTGGGTTTGATATCGGAAGATTATGGCAGTGGAAGTTTTGGTACTTTCAGGCGATTCTTTACTATTTATTTATATGGAGTTGGAGGTTCGGATGGTCTCTGTCGACAAGTCGAGCAAGAAGAGGCAGTAAGGCGGAAGCTGATTCTTGTACTTTTATCGTGTGGAAGTTCAGGGCTTTTGTTTTTTGATTTTGGCTTTTATGGATTGAGTCAGCTATGATATTCGGCTTCTGTTTTAATTGTTTTGTTTTTGTGTTGGTTTTCGGGCTAAGTTCAGGTGTTAAGTCTGGTCAGTCATTTTTATGACTGTTGTAGCTTAGATGGATTTCGCTGTGTTAGTGTTGTTGTGTAGGGTTTTTTTCGGTTGTTTTTGGTTTGTTTATGTTGGGGGTGGCGATCTAGTTGTATCTTATGGTTAATGAAATCTTAAGGCACTCTTTTCATCCTTCCGCTGATTAAGGAGGTTTTTAACGAGGCCTTCAATTCCTATAAAAAAAATATAAAACCTTCAAAGAGGGAATTGGCTAAGTGGGGCTGTGTGTAGGCAAGTTGTGTTAGTTTTAGGGATTTGTGATTTATGTTTCGTTGCAGTTAGGTGTTTTTTGTTTCCTATGTTTTATTACTATGGTTGTTCAATAATATTTTGAGACACTCTTCTTAGAAAAAATGAAGAAATAATATGTCTTATTTCTTGAATGAGTACAAGGCTTCCTTTTATACAGAGGGAAATTACAACAAAAAAAAATAAACTAATTAGAGCCAATATTTAACAGCTTCTACTT